GCCGCTCGCGTCGGATTCGCGCAAAATGTACGGTAGTGGATCAGTGTTTTATTATGCCCGCGCACCCGAAAGTTGCAAGTTTGCGTTCCTAGCGCAAAAAGCAGATTAGCGGCCTCGGCCGCGCGCAGCTTGCCGATGGTTTGGGATCAAAGGGGTTGGGGGGGGGGGGAAGGCAGAGGGGGGGAGTAGGGGGAGGTACAGTGACTGGTCATTGCTAGGCGCTAGCACCGCCGATCTCCCCCATCGGCAATGCCTGCCCACCCCTCATCACCGTGATGAGGGACTGGTACAGCCTTGCTCTTGCACCACTGGTGTGGTACCAACCTGCCACGTGGGGGGGTTAGGGAGAGATCCGGGTTGGTTGGTGTTCCACCGTACTATAGATAGACTTGCGAGGTGATGAGATAAAAAAATTGTATACCACCAAGAAGATGAGATAGATGAGAGGGAAAAAAAACCAAAAAAAAAAACTCGCCGAGCAATTTCCAGCCGACAAGCTACGGCGCGGGGTGGTGGCACGGTATGGCCCTCGCTCTGCTACTCTCGAAATGTGCAAAACGAGAGTGAATCTTCCGCTAGAACATATGGAATATATATACACGGCCATGATTTTTGTCTTTTGTGCACGTAGAGTGTGGAGGGTAGTGGAGCGAGGCCCTATTTCTGCCTGCCATGTGCCTTTTCCTCCCAACTCACAGACTGACAGACGTGGAAACAAAAAAGCGTTACAACGTGAAAATACGTGAAAATAGGGCATCGCTGCACTACTCTCGACATGCACAAACGACAAAAATCATGGGGCCGTATCTCGCCATGTTTCTAGCGAAGATTCACTCTCGTTTTGCACATTTCGAGAGTAGTGCAGCGAGGCCCATAGTCGTCGGGGCCGGTGAGAGCGGGGCGGTTGTGAAGCTACGTGGAACTGGAATCGTTACGGTACGGGCTGTCTGGTGATCCTGCCTCAGCTAGGTCCCACTTGCACGAATGAAGAGGTACTGACCGTAGATAGCAAAGATCAACGGCCGAAATCTCCTAATATGCGCAGGTGGGACCCTGCCCCCGGTGATTCTGCCTCAGCAAAATGAGGAGTAGGAGGGGGAGAGAGTGAGAGAGGGGAAGATTTGCCGCGTTGTCGATTGTCGACTGGAAAGTGGAAGGGGACGCAGAGGCGGTAGCAGCGCCTTGCTCCTCCTTGCCTCGTGTTTGCAGTCGAGGTCTGTGAGGGGCAATAGCTATGGCGTCTGGCTTTAGCGCGGACGGAATGGAGGTAGACAGCGCGATCGATGACGAGGAGGAGGATGATTGCGGGTCCTTGTCGATGATCATGGAAATCCGACTGAAGAGCTCTGAAGACATTCGTCATTGCTGGGAAACTGGTCCTAAGCGAAGAAACCGCGAATGGGGAACTCATTCTGCGCCGACAAGCAGGTCAGGGCAAGAC